TGTAGCTTGCCATGAATTAGAGCTCTAATTATATTAGGTACTATTTTAAACAAAATAACACATTTCTTATGATCCATAGGTGTAATTTATAGCAAAGCCAGGTTCATTTTCCTGGGCAATCAATTTTGTGGTGTAGCAGAAGACTAATATAATTATGTAAAGCGCTGAGAGCTGAGTATCGCAGTCACCACAGAAGGGCTTTTGGAAGATAAATGAAGATGCAATTTATTCACTCATAATTTCATACAGAAAATGCCGTGAAAGAAATCCATATGAGCATCAGCAAAGGGTAGAGGCACTAATACTTTTTGATATAGACTACCAGAGCATTGTAGTCAAGGCTGGGGTAATGTATGAGTTACTTCAGGTTTCCTCACACCAGTGAGCTATCTCTCACACGAGGAAGGAGGAGGAGAAGAGCCTTTTGGCCAAGCCCTCTAAATCATACCCAGAGGAGTGAGTCATTTATTATAGTTACAATTATATCAATATCACTAACACATAAGAGCTGCGATAAATCCACGCACATCAGTTTCTGTGACAACATACGTGATCAATGTAGGGAGGATCCTCAGCTACAGTTATTCTCTGCAGTGTTTTGTGAATCGGTGTTTAAAAACTTAACGTATTAAAGTATAGGTTTCAGATTTTTAGATTTCAATAAATCCTCATCTTGCTTTGTGGTCCCTCCTTATATTTGCAAACGTACCCATAAGCCTGCTGTTAAGGCAAAACACAGGACCACCTACTACATCTCACTGGAAATCCACTTCTGTCAGCTGCAGGGGAGTGGGAGCTGGCAGGGTAAAGATGAATTCTTAAGCTTATCGTTGCTTTAGTTGTGGATCTTTTTGTAGAAATGTCTCCTATTGTTATAGTCAACATGTGTTTGAGTGTATAAAGTGAACCTCCCTGGTGGCACCTTGTATGGCAGCCTCTGTGTGCCAATGGGTGAATGCTGACTTGTATGCGGGGTCATAGAAACTGGAAAATTGCATGCCCATTTACCAGATCATGCACAATAAACAGCAACCCTACATCAGGCATTTGTTACTTAGCTAGAGTCATGTATTTAACAAACTATTTATTTAATGTGCATTTTACTTTGCTATGTGAATGTGGAAAGCCTTTTCCCATATTATGCACTCTTTAATAATTTACCAACAAAAGGACAGATGTAGCCCTGTAGTAGATTTCTGTAAAAAAAAATGCAGTGTTGCTTTAGTTGTGTTTTTTTTTGTTGTTCTAGAAATTGCTCCTAATGTTATAGTCAACATTGTTTGAGTGGAGAAGGGGATCTCCCTGGTGGCACCTTGTATGGCAGCCACTGTAGACATTGGTTTGAATAGGTGAATGCTGACTTGTAATGATGGGTCATATAGAGACTGGAAAAGAGTATGACCATGCAGAATGAACAGCAACACTATCAGTCAGTTGTTCTCCCATGGATGGAGCCTTTTGCCATATGACATGTCCTCTTTAATAATATACCAACCGAAGGACAGTTGTAGCCCATTGCACACAAATGTTAAGTATGCATGGATGAGATGTAGCCCTTCTGTAGATTTCCTTTTGGAAGGAAAAATGCTGTGTTTATAAGTTTGCAAACATCACAGATGCTGCTCATTCATCTGCACACAGTGTTCTGAATCCTTAATGACAGCAGGGGCCAGAGGACAGGAAGGGCTTGTGACAACGGTGTCCTCTAACATTCACATCTTCTGTCAGTATTTACAGATGGTCAGCGTGTGTGATACAGATCAGCTCTCCTTCCTCCTTGTGTCTGATGTGGAAAAATGACTGAACATCAACACAAAACCAGGAAAGAAATAGGATACTGTGTGTCAGTGTAATGGACTGAAATAGAATTATGGGTATTTATATAATCCCTTCAATGTGCACTGGGATTGCACCTTAAGAATTAAACAAGAAGCTCTTTTTGCTCTCATGTCTCTTGAATTAATAGTTTGGATGAGTTAATGACAATAAGATACAAAAACACACAATTTCAAGGCTTATTAAGTCCTTTATTTAAACAAAGAATACATTATATCAGGTAGCAATACATTCTCTTTTATTAATATATATACATTAACATTTCAATGAGTCACTGGTGGTTTAATCTATCAACTTTCAATGGCATAATAACAGTGAGAAATGTCATTCATATTAACATTGACATCCTGTTATCTATAGAAACATGTAGGAATGGAATTAAACACTAAATTGAGTTTACATTAAAATGGTTTTGTTGTTCAGACTGGAAGAGACATAACATATGCAAATTGAATCAAAGTGAATAAGTAAACGTGCACATGTTCCACAGAAATGTAAACTAACTTTATCATCATCTTACAAAGGTGGCAAATTAATTAATAGCAAGCTTCCATCAAACTGAACCAACTTCAAGTATTTAAGGTAGTTGTGAATTGGCTGTTGGATTACATTACATTTAAATCACCAACTATAATAAATCCTGCACTTAACAGTACTTCAGTTTCAGAGATAGCAGCACGATAACACACAAACTATTGCTCTATGAAATAAATGATTTTTAAGGGATGTTGTTATAAAAGCGAGGCATTCCTGCGACCCACTTTCCTCTCACATCCTCTGCTCCACGCTTATATCTGAAATAGTCCTCATAGTTTTTGTCAGATTTTGTTGAGTTGAAAATCCTTCCTCCGTTCACTTCCATCACCTGCTTTGTTGTGAAATGCAGTCTTGATCCGATGATAATCCACAATAACCTCGTTTGACAGGACGCGTTAAATAAAAGTAAAAAACCAGACATTTTCTACCTCATCTTAATTTCTTCTGCGACGCTTTGCACAAACTCCTGCTGCTATCTCCCGTGCGTGTAGAAACATAAGAGCCCTTGGGATGGAGATGAATGCTCTCACAGAGGAACCATCGCGATATGTTCTGTGCACACCAACTTTATCCGAGGTCTGATGAAAGAATTGTCTTGTGTTGTTGCAGTGGGAATATATTCATCCTGCAGCCTATAAATTAATATAAGCAGCAGCTGTGACTGCACCTCTTTTACTTCAAAAACTTTGAATGAAAAGATGGCTCGCTGTTAGCTCTTTATCGATAATCACTGCATAAATTACAAAAGATACCTGAAAAAAACGTTTTAATTGAATAACCGGCTGCCTCTGTCCTGTGTATAGAAGAGCCAATGGCTGTTAACACCTCTCTTTCATTAATAGTTCGCCTACAGTAGGCTACTCTCCCAAATGTTAATATTACTCTGCAGGCTGAGTGGGCGTGGCCCGCTCTGCTTTTATCCAATCAGGATCAAGCTCACTGCTGCACTGCCTGCTCCAACGAAGCTGCTGTTGCTTTACTTATTTATTATGGCTATGATTAACTTGTTATTAAATTGCAAAAAAAAATGTTTAGCATTACTTCAAACAGGTTTACAAAATGACATCCCCTGCAATGCCAGATAGAATTATTTTCCACAACCGCTTATTAAAGTAGTGTTTTTTTCAAAGCAGCTATAATCAAAGTAACTATGCTGCTGCTATTTCAAAAAGTGGTAAAACATATTTTTGGAAGTCACATTGTTGAATTTTGTCGGAGCTAAAGACCAATCAGAGGGTCAGGATAACTGCTCCAGCCCGAGATTTAATTGTCCACAAAAACCTATTTTCATCATCATGTGGAAGAGTATAGGTTAGCTTGAAAAAATGTTATGAATCATTTATTTACATATCCAATATGTGCATCTAGTTCTTCTTAAAGCAATGTTTGATTCAATATTAAATGTATTTTCAATTGTTGTTTTTTTGTCTCAGTGAATGACTCGGTGCAGGAGCTGCATGGGGGGGGGTGGGGGGTAGTGGATGAAAAGAAGAAAGAGCTCACCCAGGGTTAAAATGGCCGCCTTCCTCTGAACACTGAGATGATTTGTGGCCTATTAGAAGCTCACAGCCAAAATCCAGGAATAAATTCATTATAAAATGAGATGAAATCAACTTTAAAGCTTTATGTTGTTTAGGGGTTTACGATTATTCTTGAGTGACGAGACACATTGAGGAATAACTTTTAGTGTGGCTGTGGTGATAAAGTCACTGATTTGCATTGTATTTGCCTTGACGCGCTCTTAAATCCGAGGTTGTATCATCTCAGAAAATGTGAACACAGTAGATTTTTTTTTTTTTAAAGCTCCCCCACCATTAAAGATTGTGGCTGCTCGGTTTGAAATGTGTTACTTGGATCTGGAATGCAAATGCTTTGTTCAGGAGGAGGAGGGATCAGCGAGGAGTCTGAAAGCGACGAGTTTTTGATTAATGAGCTTTGAAATGGCTCTCCAGGAGCAATAAAGGATGAACTGCTCCCTCCCTCTTTCTTTCTCTCTCTCTCACACGCACACGCAAAGGGATAAATACACGCACATCCATCGTTGCATCATTTCCAATGTCAAATCTTGTTTTTTTTCTACTTTTGTTTTTATTCTCACAAATCTGATCTGCCATATTCATCATTGAATAGACACACTTCCACTCCTTCAATATTTGAAATATTAGTTTTTACCAATAAATTAGAGAGCAGTGATTATGCTTTGAAAATGCAGCTTATTCCCTTGTCCCAACAGATATGAAGGTAATCATGTGGCCGAGTCTAAAAAATGATAAGTGACATGTGAAAGATGCAATAAGTCCATAGACTCCCTTCCCTCACAACAATGAAACATCAATAATCTGCAGAGCCTTCGCTGAAATGCACTTTGCATTGGAGGCATAGAGCCGTCTGATGAGTTTTAGATATCCTGGTGTCTAATTATTGATCTGCTCTCCCTGTTTGGACTGTACAGTAGAGCAGTACAGTCAATACGCCTCCTCTGTTACCTGACAGTTCTACTGGGAGGAATTAAAATAATCAGAAACAAGTGGCGACCAATGCTGCTGGGATTTTTCTTTTTCAACAAAATGCAATCAATAATACAAGTTTGAGCACTTTATTTACAAAATTTTAAACACAATAAAATATAACATTTCAATATCATTAAGGTTTCATAAATGTATGGATATCCAACTGAATGGAATAACAATGTAAGACAAATAAAAAATAGTAATGACTACACAAAATGACATGCTGGTGTGTATAATATTCATATTCGATAGTCTACGTTTTGCTTTAGTTTTGACACAAGATTAACCATGGACATGTAGTGGCGTTTATACACTACCAGATGTCCCATTTATCCCAGATTTACAATTAGAAATGCTCTTTTTCAACAATACTGCGAGTCATAGCATTTTTCAAACCCTGTTTTACCAACACTTTTAAGTGCACTGATCTGTCCAATCTTACAAAAAACTCCACACTTATAAATACTCGCATATAAACGATAAATAATGTGCAATACAAAAGTAATTAAATAATAAATAGGCTATATGCTAGTACAAAAGATTATGCAAAATGATACAAAATAAATAAATAGGATGCTCGAGAGGAGAGTGATATCCTACAAAACAGACGAAATATTCCCTAAAAGTCCTTCTCTCTAAAGATGAGCTTCTACTTTCGTGATCTACAAGACTTACCTTCAAGTAACACCATGAAATATTCAGTCAAAAATTGCGCATTGCACTTTAGAAAAAAAAAGAAAAAGGAACAACTGACAACCTGCCTCTGCGCATCAGATTTTCAACAGAAAAGGACAAAGCTGTTATTATTTAAAAAATAATCACACAATAGCATTAATAGTAATATCAATAATACTGTAATAATACACACGACTCGCTTGGAGTGTAGTTATTAGACTAGTGAGGTAATAAAAAGAGCGGAACATAATTTTGGCACACGCACGCACGCACACACACACACACACACACACACACACACACACACACACACACACACACACACACACACACACACACACACACACACACACAGAAACCACATATTACAAATGCGTGAGTTTAGGCGCTTCCTGAATCCTTCCCTGAGATGCTTGGAGAGAGGTGAGGTCTGTGTATGTGGGATGGGGATCACAGGGTCCATGGTGGTGGTTTCCTGGGATCTGAGCGGCACAGCTGTAGTCCACACTGGTGGATGAGGGGTGGGGAAGATGGCCGAGGTTGAACATGGGGCCCGAGGCTGGCATGGAATCAACAAAATTCCCCCCCACGTAAACGGGGCTACCCTGCAAATTGGCGTTGGCAAAGCCGCCGTTACTCTGCATGGCGTGGTGCTCGTACTCGGAGCCCGGGTACCTCTTCTGTTGCGGGATGCAGCCACCCAGAGGTGCCGTGTACGCCGCCAAACCGTACATGTTTTGCTGTGGTTTGGCGAAGGACGGGGGCGAGGGCGCGTCATAGCTGAGGCTGTTCACGTTTTGGAGCTGACCAGAGTATCCAATGTGATTTGGGCCACTCATCGGTGGGCTCCTGTCCGGGGAGTGTCCCAGGGGAGAGTGTGCGAGCCCTTTAGACTTCTGATCCTTTTTGTATTTCATCCTCCTGTTTTGAAACCAGATCTTTATTTGACGCTCGGTGAGATTCAACAGATTCGCCATCTCCACTCTCCGTGGGCGACACAGGTAGCGGTTAAAGTGAAACTCCTTCTCCAGCTCCACAAGTTGTGCGCTAGTGTAAGCAGTTCTGACCCGCTTGGAGGCCGGTCCCGGTGGGCTCTTCTCATCACTCATCTCTCCAGCTGTAGAAAGCACAGCATCATGTTAGCCTCTTTACAGACATTTTATTATAATATCAACTGTAGCAGATCTTATTTATTATTACAATAAACAGGATTGTATTCCAGTATTTCATTTAACATTCTGGTTTTAGCTCATCTTATTCTATTTTACATGTTTATAGTTTACTTCTTACTCATGTACTTGCACATTTGTCCCTTGCATCATTCTCTTGCCCTATTTTATATATTCAGATTTAGTTTTTTTTGCACCATTTATATTGTTGTTTATCTTACATTCATGTTGGATTGCGTTGAAGGACCTGGGACATGCATTGTGCATATGACAATAAAACCTTTGAATCTTTGAAAAGGCCCAAACCCACCCTCACCCCCCATTCCCTTAATGTATAAACAAACACGCACCATCCTGATCTCTACCTGCGCCGGAGCAGCTGCTGCCCTTCTGCTTTGAGTTCTGCCGGGTCTCCTTCATCCAGGGGAAGATCTGCTTAGTGAGGGTCGGTGTGGCAGTGCTGGAAGCGCTGCTGGGTGGGGATTTCTTCTTCGGGGGTGCAGAGCTGTTGGGGCTGGGAGAGGATGCAGACAGTGGGGGTGCCTGCTGCTCCACGATGCTGGTGGCCTGGCTGCTGCTGCTGCTGCTGCTCTGGCTGCCGCTCTGCCGCATGCAGTCTGCGTTCAGGTCACTGTCTTTGAGGGTCGGGGGCCGGACAGCAGCGGTCTGGATGGGACACACCGAGGCCTGGTAGTCATTCTCAATGTTAGACGCAGGGTAGGACTGGTGGGCAGGGCCGTAGTTGTAGGAGTCTGGTTTGGGGAAGGTGTACCCTCCAAACAGTCCAGAGTTATCGTAGTATGTTGCTTTCTGCATTTTGGTGTGGATTCAAAGCCAAAAAGCCAATGCAACTTTATCCAATGGCATGGATGTTGTTGTTTATTCACGTGATTGGTGTTTCCCACCGTTGCTCCAGTCTGTGACCTACAAAGACAAATGTGTCAGAGTCATGGGGGCAAACATGAATAAGGCCTGCAGTCATTAGAGCTGCAACCGCCTTTACATTACTCCAATGACCGCTGAAATACATGGTTTACATTCACATTAAAGCAGGAGAATCACTCTGCTTATACCAATGCTAATGCTGCTATAGGCTAATAAAGAAACTGCCAACTGTCTCCCCAGTGTCTCTAACACTGTGGCACTCTGACTGATTTGTGGCACAAAACAGTTAAAGTTTAACTTGTGCTTAAAGGACCCTCTGGGAGGCTTTAGTGGTCCCTCAGAAATAAGCTGAATCAGCATTTGACACACATGCACACAATACCCTTTTCACTAATCACAACGCCTGACAAAGCCAGTCATGCATTGTTCCCTGCAGCAGAAATATAGCCCACCAGGGCCGCGCACATGCGTTTGGATCACATGTTTACGCACAGATACTAATCTCCTTCACTGTTTGTTATTAATGGCAAAGGAATGTAATTAATTTTAGATTTAAAATGTAGGTGATATCGGTGTGTAAGTAAGAAAGGGAGAGAGGGATGGAGGGAGGGATAAAGAGAGATAGATTGAAAGAAAGAGAGGTGGGTGATGGTGGGAGTTAAATATGATATTAGTCTTTACACAGTCCTGAAATCATGTATTTTGCATTCTGACTAGCTGTTTGGATTTAAAATCTATGTCCCATTCATGCAAAATGTACCTTCAATTTAAATTAAATAATAACAATTCAGAGGAAATTTGTCAAATACTCTGGATATTGTTGCAACCACATTTGTTTTCAGAATATCCTTTGAACTAGAAGCTGCAACACACATATCAAAGGGCCCTGTACTGTATGTTGGTGGCTTGAGGAGTGCAGCCTACGCCGTGCATAACAATTGCACCTGTCAGTGTGGACCGCGGACAAAATTTATGACCGCAAATGTTATGGTCGTAAACGGCCTCAGAGAGGAATGAAAAGCAAAACAGTCCTCAAGACTCGCTGCCCTCAGAAGTGTACAACTAAGCGTAGGAGGAAGGCAAGGGAAAGAATTTCATACTCGGCGACTTCTCCCATGCAGAGGCTCGCTTTATAAGCGAAGCCTCCAGTCTGCAGCCAAACACCGAGGAGAAACACTGGAGAGATTTGAGCGTTAAAAAAGGCTGGGAATTTTACGAATCGGTTGAAAAGCCAGAATCGTGGGACGAAATGGAAAAAATCTTACGGATTTTACGTTTTTTAATTAACATTTTTATTTTATTTATTAAAATGTAAACATAAACAATGTATTTTTTTGTTCTTAAAATAATGTTGGCTTTATTCATGCGGCGATGGAATTGGACATATTGGAATGGGACCCTGGCCTGCGCTAATACCTAATACTGGTCCAGGCGAAGTGAAAGTCATCCCTCATGTCTGTGTTGGTGATTTAAGCCTCCTGTGAAACACTGTGAGCGTTAATATGTAGCCTAATAGCAAATCACCCTTTCACCTTGTTAGCAGTTGTTCTGTGCTGTCCACTCCCTTCATTAAAGAAATGTTACTCACCGAAATCTGTGCAATTCTCTTGTATATCCCTCACGCATTCATCACTGCCCCCTCCTCGACCTGGAAGAGAAACAAAACATAGTTTCCTACATTAGATTTATTTTAAAACACATTCATTATTCGAGGAATACACCCAGTTTATACAAAAATAGATATTAACATCATGAAGCCCAATCTTCTTCACCACTGTAAGAATATACAATTAAAATAGTAATTGTATTTGTTATGAAATGAAAAACATTTTTTAATTCAAATAATTCCTTCATAATTATTGATTTGTATATGTGTTGGCCTGTTTAAATAGGCTAAATCTTAAAGCTGAATTGTCCCTGCAATAACCAACTATGGCACTTTTTTTCAAGAACCTGCTTGACAGAAAAAGGTCTTGCATGTGCACTTTTTGCACAAAGAGCCAGCCAAATATTTAGCAGTCATAAGCTTTTTTAGGTGACCTTTAGGTCATTTAGCATTTGGTCAAAGTTTAATGAACAACGAGCAGTTTGGCTTCAAGTAGCCTCAACTCTCAACTGAATTCAAAGCAGATTTTCAGAGGTGACTGAAACAGACGAGAAGATGTTTCACCGAAGGCAAGAAAGTATAAATTAAACATCAGGACATTTCAGAGAATAGTTTTTTGTCTGTGAGTTTGAAACCATCGCTGGTTCCCTGCTTGTAGGTTTTTTGAGGATTAATTGCTTTAAATATGATCATGGAGATTTAAGATTCATTCGTTGTGGATTATCTGTTAAACTGGTCGATAGTCTGCGCCTGAAGTGCTTTTGGAGCACACTGGGTACTAGTAGCAGACATGGTCCTCTTTTCACACAGCAGTGTGTTTCGCCTACGCGCTGTTACGGTAAGTTTGGTTCACACAATGGGCCGGAGTCAATGTGGAGTGTTATTATCCCAGCTTGTCTTTTCTCCTGCTAGCTCTTTGAAATGCTGGTCATATTCAAGTTAAACAGCACTTTAAGATTATTTTTGCTATTATTGGAAATGTTTCTTACATGCACGAAATAACTGCAGTTGATCAGTGAAATAATATTGTCTCCCTCGCAGTTGTTTGTAGAAAAATACGAATTGTGTTTTTCTTGGAGAAAGCTGCTCACAAAATGCTAGCACCAGTTGCAGCAGAAGGTTTTGATTCAAGACTGCTTTTTCCTGATTTTGGAAGAAATTAAGCAGCTTTTCTGAAAATAAGCATAATCACAAGTGTATGCAAAGGCGTAGGAACATAAATTAAGAACATAAATAAAACATACATTCATAGTAGAAACGTTAATAATCTGTTTTCAGTAGATAGGCTACATGGGTAATATTCAACTTAAATATATATTAATAACCCACTTTTATTTTCGCGATCAGGCCTGACTTTTATTGCCGAAGCCAAATATATAAAAAGAAAATTCGCATGAATTGCAATTAACCAAATACAAGTGACCCAAAAACGCATCGAAAATAGTAGGAAAATTAAGTATTTGCCTTGATCCTCGTCCACTATCCAGCCCGGTAATCATTCAAAACATCCGATATGAATTCATGTATAATATAACGTTGCAGGTTAACAAAGCCATATAGTTGAAACCACATAAATCACGGCAAACGCCAGTGTGACGATAAGACAACAAATTAATGTGATTTACGATCCAAGAGTCAAAAAGAAAAAGTTCCTCTCCTACTTCTTCCCTCCGAGACGGTTTTCATCCAAACGTGAAATCAGCTGAAAAGCAGCTCAATCTGTCGATAATATTTGAACGCACTTTCTCAAAAAATAAATAATGATATAGGCTTCATGGGGAGGTATAGCTGTGGACTACATATCCGTACGGTCGCCGGTGAGAGCGACATTAACAAGCATCACCTCCATGAGTGGAATAAATCAAATATATTTCCTTGCATTATATTAACCCGTGGTTAAAGGTTGCTTTCTGCCATGCGATTGCTTACCTGCGAATCAATTCATCATAAAACAACTTCCCTCTCAGTCTCAGTTGCTTTCCACGCAGTCTCTAGAATAAATCCTTCACCCTTTGTCTGTACACAATGCTGTCCTAAACCTGATCTTGCTGTTTTTCAGACATTTCCATATACCAATGGAGACAGTATTCCCGAAAGATTGGAAGGACTAGCATTCAACTACCAATAAAAAGCGAACAAGGTATCCTTATTCCAGAAGAAAAAATCCCTGGCAATCAATCACCCATTGAAATATACAGGAAATATTCAGAAACGATAGGCCTGTATACACATTTGGAGCTAACGTTAGGATTTTGGGGTGTTTCGGAAGCTTTGTGATGACAAATAAAGGCGCTGCCTTAAGATACAAGCATATTTGTTCACGTGATTGTTCTCTTCTACAACCGAGCCTTACCTCACCAATCCATTTTGATAAAGGGTGGCGTTTATTTCCTCATCTGAACTGTGTGAAAATGTTCCACTGCCTATTTCTTTTCATCTGCTGCTGAATTACAACTCGCCTGCACTTCAGTATTTAAACACAAGCATTATATCACAAGCTATTGTTAAGGTATTATAATAAAGATTTGTACATTTTGTGGTTTCCGCATATGAAGAGCATTGTGTTGGCTTAGGTTAAAGAAATGGTGTGCATTTTATGAGATTCAGCTGCTTTTACATTTTCACCCTTTTGCAGTTTTTTCCCCACATTTATCCTTGAAAACAATCACAATTACACGTTTAAACCTGGCCGTAAATGCACCACGTATTTTGGATACTATTTTTAAATAGTATCATTATACTTCCTATTGATATCCTATTTGGTCGCCCAATAATTGCATCGATGTGGGAGATGCATTTTCTAAAATGATTTATGAAATACACGACATCTGTTTGTTTTTTTCTCCTTCCAGCTGGGATTGCATTGTATTCAAATAAACCACAGTATAATCTTTTGTGTGTTGTGTCTGTCCTCACACACTGCTCAAACACAAACAGTGGGAGATCCATGTCTTCTCCTGCATTGTTTGCAATATTATCCCAATAAATAAATAAAATAAAAAGCCCGATTTGATAAGCAATAAATAAATATGTTGGTAAAAGAGCAGAAAGGACAGCAGCAGGAGGATTTGGAGCCGCAGAGCGTCGGCTGATCAGCGGTGTGTTATCTCTGCTGAGAAGAAGGACCAGAAGAACAAGAAGAGATGCAGGATCGGTAGCGTCGCAGCATATGTTCAGAGGGCAATAAAAGTGAAAGATTTACAGTTTTCGCCCGACCCCCAACAGCCTAAAACCCTTTCAGGAATTACTGCGAATGATTTACAAGGAGGCAGACCTGTCAGCCTGCCCAAACTTCCAAGACTTCTTAGAAATCACAATCAAAACAGCCCATACTACCCATAAAAATAATGAAGAAATACACCACAATTCTATAATAAGGACATATAAATTGTAAATAACCTATTATTTATCTTGTTGAGAACTATGACTATAAAGCAAGATGTATTATACTTAGCAATTTATGATTCTAATGTTTTTTTTTATATCTATTTAATTTCTTCTTTTTTTTAACTTAATTGTTAAAAATCAGAATTAGAGTCTTTATAAAGAGTCAGTGGGCCCTGTGGAGGGGCCACACTGAGCGGATGGGTCCGAAAGAGCATTTATTCAGAGCGATAAGCCATAAATACATGTCAGTGCCCTTTAGTTTTTACCATTTCTCCTATCAATCCTTCCCCAGAAAAGTGCGTAAACAGCACACATCCTACCATATATAATAAATGTGATAAAAAGAAGACATGCACACAGTGACTATACAGTTTACACAATCCTGCTCAGCGCACACATCAAAAGGTTGCAATTTATCAAAAATCACGACATTTGATATCGTCATTTACCAGCTCGGGCAACATGAAAAATGCTGAAATATTTACCTACCCAAGCATCCATCGGTTCGGATGTGTCGCTAAAGTGCGAGCCTATACGGTGGAGCCGGGTATCGGATATTATTTTTCTTGGGGGATCTCTTCAGTTTTCAAGTCTGATAGAGTCCTTGCGATTAATGACGACGCCGTGTTTCTAGGGGGACGTGCTGCATTAATTATTTAGACAATCACGTGGTCGAGGAAAAGAGAGCGGAGTGGTATAGTCTCTGGATTATATCTCTGAATGCAGACAGCGCACTTTAATATATTTTAGGGGGGTTGTCTGGCTCGGAGAGGCTTCTGCGAAAAAACTGCTGGAAATCAAATATGGCCGGATGGAGAGCAACGACGTTGTATTCCTGCACTGGGTGCAGTGTCATTGAAAATGGCACTGCCTTTGGCTCCCATTTATTGCTGCTCAGACATGTAGGTCAGTGTGGCTATACACACTGTACGGTGTAGTACTGCTCTGACCTGATAACTGCTGGGTAGGAACAGTGTTGTGATAGGTTTAATTCATATTAATAATAACTGGAGTTCAGCAAGTCGTGATTAATTATAAATGGCTTTAACATATAAAATAGATCAAAAGTTATCTTAAAGAACTATAATGTATAGTAGGTATAGGTTAGTTGTCCAATTGTTCCTATACCACCCCCTCCCCTCCCCCACTCCTCTCACCCCCCCTCCTCTCTCTCGCTCATCCTTTCTTCAGCATCTATGTGCAGATCATTTATGGCAGGATGGTGGATCGGTGGCATCACTTTGTCTCAGCTTCTCTCTGAATCTATATGACACACGCTTGCATTTTACACAACCATAAAGTGCACGCCATAGGCCCTCGCGCACTCAGCGGGATCAGACAGTGGTCACTGGGGATAGAAACATGCTGAGTGACTGTAGATTGTCTTTCCACATGTCCGTTTATGGCCACTATTGTTTGTATCAGCACTGATGCTGCAGTGGGGGGGTCGAGGGTCAATGCAAATGTGGGTCATATTCAATAAAGGGATAGCTCTTAAAGCACGAGGGGGTCTAATAACAAATATATAATGGTTGATAAAGTGTGTATGACTATGTTATAAACTGTTTCTGGTAATTGTGGCGTAATCTGATTTAGTAACAGGAGCATCGACTCGGAAAAAGTTTGTAACTGTCAGATTGAATGTACCAGGCTGTTTGGTAATAAAGACTCATGTAACTAACAACTGTTTTGCAATAAAGACTCGTGTTTTCTGAGACACCTAAACGCAGCTTTCATTGAATAAAAGCACCTCTAAAAGCTCCACTAGAGCTGATGAGGACTCGCTCCTCTTGATAAGAGCTTATGAGCGAACAATAAGACACAACATCTCGTTCTTAAACACGTTTCTTCAAAGATATTCTACAATATGGTAGACTCATAATGTATTTTTTGCTACTTAATTTCATGTCTTACATGAGAACAGTGTATTTGCCCATGCAGTGAACATTTGGTGCATTGTGGATGTTTTTTTAAAAGGGGGCTTCAGGTCCATATGGCTCCACACGCTTGTTCCCACTGAGAAACAACTCGTTTCCCATCAAAAGGGATCCCTTTTTTTTTTAAATGGTGCAAACCGAATGACAGGAAATAATTATTTTAAATCGAATATAAAATGTCCATGAGAAATAAGATACATTTAAATACCTCAGTGGGCACGGGGAAATACCCATTTTCTTCTCGAGTGGAGAAAATAAAAATAAAAAGAACGCAACAAAATGCTTCTGCAATCAATTAAATACATAATCAGTAGAAATCTTTATTTTTTCGAATATACTTCTCGCATTTCAATGCACAATACAAGGTAAAAAGCATGTACAAAAATAAAACCAAAAATATTGCATATTGACATGAGGAGACAAATGCACAAATCAGAAGCTTCTGGGGGATGATATATAAATAGGCCTACTGTCAAAACACGTGTAAAAACTATGGAATTTACGCCCTGAATATTTTTAACTCTTTTTTTAAATTTGGAAAAAAGCCTCCAAAGCAAAGCTCGGAGCGCCTGGGAGAGCTGCTCGTCCGGCGGGTCAGAGGTGTTGGGGTCAGTCCTGCGGCTGAAATGTGGCCCCTGGATGAACCTGCCTCTGCTGCTTTTGTCGACCTGCGGTTGAAATACCTTTTCAAGCCTCTCATCGGGAAGACTTCACAGAGAAAGACCTCTTCTTACTGGGATGAGCTTCTGGGCTTTTTTTGTCCGAAAGACAATGACGGTATCAAACAAGGAATATCTGTCTTTGAAAACGTGACGTGAAAGCCCCCCTCGGTCAGCTCTGTGTAAATGAAAAACTAGAAGATTCCCACATTAACTAAAGACTACAAACTCTGCGTAAAGCCATGCTAATAATTCACAAGAGTTCAAACATATTTTAGATCAATTGAAATTTAACGAATACTTTTAATTAAAATTGTATGTGTGCTATACGAAAATGTACACGTTTTTTTAAATAAATAATGACTTAAAAAATAATATCAAGAAGAAACGAACATTATATTCCTAAATATTCTGGATTTTATTATTTCCGATGAGAAACATCCAATATCAATTTGATGCCATGCAGGAACAAATGATCTTTTATAGTAGGACTCTCAAATGGTGCGAGAGCCTCTGAAAATGTACACTGTTTACAAAGATGTCAAGAGAGATTTATAAGGGCACTCAGAATAGTTTGCACACAGGAATGTCTTGCGTTTAGGAATAATATTTAGGCTAACAAAAATTCAACGTTTTATTTTACAAAATAAGTTAAAACAAATAAGAGTCACAAAGAAACGTGATCTGAGATTCAACGGGGTTTTTGCAACTTACGAAAGTAGGTTGTGTTTGGCGTGCTCTATGCAAATAATACCTCCTTCAAGTATATAGGCTATTTTTCTATATTGTGCGGTTAATGTGAGGTTTGAATAGGAACAAAATAGAAATAACCTTTGTGTGTGCGTGTAATTTCAACCAAAGGCTTCCCTGTTCTGAAATAAGAGATTTCGATCTGTAAAACCAGCGTGAATCCACGTGAGAAGATCTGGAAGACTTTGTTTAAATCCATGAAATCAGCCGAGATCCCTCATTAAATGTCCTCAGTTGGGTAACGTCCAAAAAAAAAAACGAAAGAAAGAAAAGTTTGTTTCGGTGTTTTTTGTGTCTCTTTGAGGAAATTAAAACAAGACAGAGCTTTTCAAACCTCTCACTTATAAAGACTGATTGATTTTCTGACTCTTGAGTCAACACTGCTGGGGTCTTTTTTGTTAAATAAAAAACATGTCTAAAAACATCATCAGTCCATGCAAAAGTCAGATGCAACCTCTGTCTTTTTTATGTACAGTTTGTGTCTAAAAAGGACTTTCATCCTTTCTTATAATGATGTGATATCAGTCTGGTTGTCCTTTTGGAGGTTTTGCAGATGGCTGGATGTTGGGGCAGATCTGCCCTTGGTGTTGGGTAGTTTGTGGTCTTTCTTCCATTTCATCCTCCTGTTTTGAAACCAAATTTTGATTTGCCTTTCGGAGAGACAAAGAGTGTGGGCAATCTCAATCCGTCGCCGCCTCGTCAGATACCTGTTAAAATGAAACTCCTTTTCTAGCTCCAAAACCTGCTGCCGGGTGTAAGCTGTCCTGGACCGTTTGGTATCGGGTCCTGTGTAATCCGGGTTCACTAGAAGAAATAAAAACAAACAAGAAAACAAGTCACCAAATGTGGCCAATGCAGCATGCTGCAATAAACAATACAACAGGAGGAGTTCCTCTCTACCCGAGGCGCTCAAACTTTAGGAACATTAACGAGGAATCGAGAGCAGGAAATAAACAGTGATTTTTAACTGAATTTAAACAGATTAGCTGCCGGTTTTAGCACCATTTACAGCCGGTCAATACGTGTTTTCAGTAGCTTTCAGGCGCTCACCTAGCGGCCTATTTCCTGAGCTATAAAAATTTATGACTTGTGTAATTGGCGAGGCCTTTCAAAGACTCCCATAAATATTACACTGAGTGATTTCTGAAGTACAGGTCTCAGTTGGTCCATAAGAGAAGAGGGAGAATAAGAAGGAGAAGGAGGAGAATAAGGAGAAGAAGAAGAAGAAGTCTTACCAGTATTTACGTGGACTTTCTTCATCCAGGGGTAAACTACTGCAGGCTGCTTGGACTGTATCCCATTTTGGCTCTTTGTGTTTTGCTCCTGTCCAACTGTCCGGGGTCCGGACACTTGCACCGGGGTCCCCTCCTCAGTCTGTGCGCTAAAAGTGCTGGGTCTACTGGATCTGTCCTGACCCCGTGGCAGCACAGTGGAGTCCTGCACAGTGGAGTCCTGCCCAGTGCTGCAGAAGGGCTGCTCCGGGTAGTTTGGCCGTGGGTAGATCCCTGGATGCTGAAAGACTGTGTCCTGCGCTGGACTGTAGAAGTCCGAGCCCTGCTCAGGTATATAGTTATTTTGTGAATATTCCTCGCAGGGAGGAAATTGGGGATCCACATACTTAGAGTTCACCATAAACGAACTCATGGCCATTAATTTCTGAAGGTAGAAAATACTAATTTTTCTCGAGTTGTCTTTTTTTCCTCCCTCCATAAAGCCCTCCTACTTGGTGTCAACTGAATAAAGTTAGCGAACCATGTGACCAGATCGGCCAATAGAGGTGATGCTGGTTCACGAACGGGTAAACATACAACTAAAAGCAATTGTATCTGACAACAAAATGATACCCAGGTGGAGGAAAACAAATATATATTATACTGAAATATCTGCTTGCACATTTGGATAATAAAATACGTGCTTGAAAAAAAAGAAGAAGAGAGAAACATAGTTCCAACGTTGCATCAATTTATACCTTTATAATTATATATTTTAAAGATACTGGACCCATGCATGAGGTGGTTTTATCAAAGTAGATGTAAAAATATATCAGTTTGTAAAGTGTAACTTGAAGGCATGGTGTTCAACAGAGAAACCAACAAAAGATACAAAAAGCCCCTCGGCATGAAAGCAGCGAATAATGACTGAGGACAATTGATGGACACTGTCTTTGTCAAGAAGGGGTCATCCAAAAGTTACACGAATCTCATCACTTCATCTGCTCCCATCCCTTTGAAAAAAACTCAGGAGCCTATTGGCCAGCAGCAGCAGCCTCTGGGAATCAATAATGTAGACACAGACCCTCAGGAGGAAGAAGCTGCAGCTGGAGTGTGCTGAGGCTTTCTTTAAGAACATCCATTTGGTGTTTTATTACAACACACTGAGCTATATAGAAATAATTCCTAATTAAATTTGTTTTCAGGTGAAAACGCGTCAGAATTCCTTGAAGCCTATAGAGTTTCACTTTGAGCCCGCGAGAGCTTCTTGTGAAGTATATCTGGTGTTGTCAGATGTACTCATTCATAAACCTATGACAGCAGGTCAGGCACCAAACGCCTGATAATAGGATGGCAACAAGTCATTGGATCGAAGTTTTTTCATCGACCATATACTCCCCTAGAATCGAATCTGTGATTGTGGTTTTATCACACAAATTCGGTTCTACAGGGTATATATAGACGACGGCAAGCAAGCGGCACTGCACACCTTTAGCGCACTTTAGCCTGTAAAGTACAATGTGGCTCAAAGAAACTATATATCTTAAACAGGCTTCCATTGGGTAAAAGGACAATATGAATAAGTCATATTTTTGCTTATAGTAATTTTAGAGTGTCTTATTCTACTTAGTCTTAATATGTAAAAATCTCAGTTTGACGCATCCTTTCTTCTCTGTTTGATTTCCTTTGAATGTATTTATCTAGAAAGTAGCTCAGTCAAAAGCCATGTCAGTGGTTGCCTCTTAAAAAAAAGAAAATGTAACTGAAAAATATGTAGGATTACAGGCTACTTTTACCAATAAATATTGTCAATTTAAGGCAGCAAATGACAAGCAAAAGACACTGAACTAAAAAAGATCTGGCAGTATCTCAGGTCAAACCAGGTTTCATGCAGTCGGTCTTTCCCCCTCTATTATAGTCCAAGTTCATTATCAGAAAAAAAAAAGATTCTTCAAAATTATAAAAATATCTTTATACTTTAATGAGCTGTAACCTTTCAAAACCTCATACTGGTGAAATAACGCACTAAAGCTGTAAACTCATCACCAGATAAGCGTTGGATGCTCACTGCCTTATATAGGGCAGCTTATCATCACTGCTCCAAAAGATGAAGCTAGAGGCCACGGAGGTCAAACTAAATCATTTACAAAGTTATCAAAAAGTTCAATTATTTCTGTCCTGGTGACAGCTCAAAGGGTGCAAAAGTTTACCAATTCCCCGCCAGCCATTAACCAAACCGCCATGGCGGCTGCTGCTTCAGAGACATCCTTACAAAGGAATTGAAGCTGGGAATAGAGAAGAGAGGCTTGTTACTTTAACAAAATCACCAAAATCAAGTAAATATTATTGTCCAAACATAGAAATGTAATATTATATTATAATACTATGATGAGCCTATATCTAGCTGAGAGTTTTTAACAAAAACAGTCCAACATTTGGATGGCACCGGTATTACGCGTTGAATTGGTCCGATTTAAAACAAAAATATATATATTGTTAAACATGCGTTTGAAAGCAAATTTGGCCAAATGCTTCTCTGGGTTAATGTGTCAGATCTGAAAAAGCTTGTAATAAAGATTGAGCCAGATATTTAGCCGTATGTTTTACCTTTAGTAAGAAGATGTAAGATTGTAATTTAGCTACTGTTCACTGGATGATACTTTAGGTTTAGTTTTATGCTACGTTTGTAGCATAAAACTAAACCTTTGCTAAACTTAAAATGTCAGTTTATGTTTAGTCTACAAGTTGAACTATGCAGGCCTTCTAAATGTAAGAATATAATAGAATCAGCTTAATGAATTTACGTTTATGTCTATATGGTTTACATGTTTCCTATTATTAAAATATATAATAGAAGCTTTAATTTTTTCTTTCCACATGTACATTTAAATGTCAACAAGAACATTAAATATTCGTTTCCACCAAGGGATAAATCATCAAATCTGAATAAAATTCGTTCCTGCACTTCACATTTCAATACGAGTGAGACAGCCTGACCTGTCTTTCACCTTCCCCTGCTAGCCCTTCAGACGGGTCAAAGCCGAGGAGCACAACAACAGAAAGATAAAGTCAGCTATTCACGGGAGCTTGTGTTAAAAGCAGGGCTAACTACTTCAGCTCGTGTCATTTTATCAGTAAAATTACAAGCTTTTATATTTAAAGAAACTCAAATTGTGAGTTTAAGAGCCACAGAAAAAAGACGAGGCCATATTTGATCTTATTTACGGGCAATAAGGGAGCGTTTTGTACTGATAATAATATAAAATAAAGCTTAAATTCACTGTTAACTTTGTATTTTGTATTATTTAACTATTTGTAAGTAGCATGTAATTCATCAAGATATGACGGCCTTATGAATAAATAGCCTACATTAGGCCTATAGTGAATAAAACAGCAGCCACATAATGTGCAAACGAGAATACAGATTGGGTAAACTCAATGCTGTTTTAGTTAATACATTTTAGTGGTTAAAGCTAATAATACTAGAACGAATTGTGAATTATTAACTATACAAAAAAGGCATTTACATGTATCATTGAGTTATGCCTTTCACACATTACGCGTAATTCTTCAGGGATTTACAAAAACTCTGCAGACAACAGGTTGATTTCTCCGCCTCCAAGCAAATAAGAACACCCAATGCTAACAAGCAGCTACATCATGTAGCAGAGAATCAGACCAACAACATAAGGAACACCATCAGAAAAAGCATCGATTGATTCTTAAGAGGTTTAAACCCAAAACCCAGCTCAGTAATTGGATTAAACACGATTTCCTGCAGCCTCATCCAACTATCTCTGCTCATCTTCAGCGCGCACTGTTGCGGCTTTTAGAGGCAGGAAACAGTGCAGCCCGAGCACTGTGCGTGTGACATCACTGCACGCCCATACCACGAGCATAATGATAAAACACAGCTTACCACAGAGACCGCCACCCAAGCCACAACGAGAAGCAAACGCATCCATGCTGGAGGAAAAGCCAGCTCATGGCACAAGCTCCCTGCCAATTCCAGCTATTCCAACCCATCTGGACGCTCTTAATACACAATGAGAATTATATTTTGGCTTGTCAAGTCCCGGGCCATAAAACAAACTTTAATGGCATCACGTGTTTCCTCACAGCCACTCACAACACCGCGCAGGCTCATAAATAATCCTCAAAGTTGCACTTACTCAATAACGGCGATTACACTGATGTGCACTGAGGAAAAGTCGTAGAAAGGGAGGAAGCTGGAAGGATAACTGCCATGATAGACATGGGAACAGAGGAGCAGTGGGATAAAAACATTAAAAAGTCAAACTCTTTTTAAATAAATTGGCTTTGTTGTTATTTAAAGGCATACTACTTAAGCAATGATTGAAAAGTATAAGCAAAGTTTTATAACTGGGCCTCTGACCATTGATATAATAATCTTATGGTGATCCCCAGTTATTTTATTCAATAAAGTATACCTCTCCTTATAGGACAGAGCTGATTACACCATTTGTCTGAAGCCTGTTGACCTCCAAAGTGTTGACAAAACAGCAAACATGCATCAATGATTTGTCCTCAAATACATTTTTCTCTCCAGTGAACCTGACACAATAAGACTGATGTCATTCCTTCTTCCGGACCAATCCCAGAGTGCAGAGCAGCTTCGCTCCTCCTCCTCCTCCCCTTCCTGTCAAAGATCAGAGGAGCTGATGATGCTGAGGTTTGGATGGCTGCCACTGTGGGCAGGTATGATAAATGGAGGGGCATCAAATCAGAGGCCTGTCACTTTTTACATGCATGTCCTCATAAAAAGTTATTTCCCTTGAGATAATTTGAACGTAAAACCTCAGTATGACCTCCTGTGTGTTTTAGTGGAGGCTGCACTCACATGTTTCCTGTTGTTAGTTGGTTCGGTGTTTCCTGTGGTTTAATGACTTACATGCAGTGTAATGCTATGAATTAAGTCCTTTGTTAAAGATAATTTCCTTCAACATCTTCATCATCATGAGGAAGATGTCATGCACAACTCACTATGATCTGTGGGAAGGTTGCTGTCCATAAAGTTGGCTTTAAAAGCATCCACTTTACTCTCTAATACATGAATACCAATATACAACTGTTTGCCTTTTTCTGCAATGCACCCTTTGGATTTGTAGAGCTCTGATGATAACAAAACAAATCCAACACAAACCAATTCAGCATCAGAACAGCTCATCTCATATATGTAAACAAACATATATTTCCATGGCTAAAAATAGAGACTATGTTAACACAAACCACTTTCAAAAGTGAACCAGATCACATGACCACGTCTCTCAGCCAATCAGCGTGCTCTTGCTCCTGCTAGTAAAGGACTGCTGAAGGGTGCAGGGAGGCTGACCGTTGGGCAACAGCGCCTTCTGCTGGCATTTTAACGACCTCCCTCCTTTTCCACTGCAAAAAATGTCCATCTCTGCTAACAAGTAATTTCACTTCATAATTTGTTTGATAAGGATAGAACGATAAAGATGAGCAATAGGAAATGTCACTTCAAATGCAAATGAGTATGTTCACTGTTCAAACATCATTTTAATTAGGTGAAGGTCTCTTTAAGTATGTGGGCTGATGAAACCTGATTTAATAATTAATTATCATAGTTATCTAAAAGAAAATTGCATTTGAAGTTTGAAAAATTATCCCATCCTTTTGCAAAATGTGTTCTTTTTTAATGTATATGTAGATATGTAAACTTAATCTAAAATAACACAGTGCCATGGGAATATTGGCATGCTTTTTTGATGTTATAAATAATCCTTAAGCAGATACAACTAAATAAACGTGGTTGCTCGTGATGATGGTGATATCATAGACACATTAAGTTATTCTTACTTTTTTTAGTAGGTAGTAGTAAATAACGAAAATAATGAAATACTTCAAATAAGAGCTATTGTATCTTTTAGGTTTCCTATAAATTGATAAGAAGAGATATTTGTTTACAAAGATCTCACTTTGTCACATAATATTGTAAAAGAGTCTAACAATGGACTTGGTTGAGTCTTTGGGGGGCTTTAATAAGCTACATCCATTCATGAAAGTTAATATCTGCGTTTAAATGTTTTTTTTTTCTGGGCCTGCGGTCAGATATTGTCCTAAATAATTACATAAAGCAAACACAGAAATGATGTAAACTGTACACATTGTCGAATTAGAAATACACAGAGTGAACCCTGTCCAGTTTCCTCAGGCTTCTACTTGTGCCTCTGTCCCAGGGTCCATTTTGCCGCATTGCAGTAAGGCTGTAAATACTTTCGCAGCTGCCTGTCAGGCCACAGTGAAATACTGTCTTTGTTCAGTTGGCCCCATCTCCAGGCAGCTGAAAACGGCTAGTAAAACCCAACTTCTACTGCCTTGCATATGTGGAATATAGCAAAGCACATTTGTTTTGTGTGCAGTAGTTTAACAAATAAACAGCGTGTTAAAGTATACTTGGGTTCATCAGATAAATGCAGATGTGTCTGGTAGCTACAGAAAATCAAACTGATATAACTTTAGATTCAAAAGCTTAGTAAAATAAAAAGACTTGGTGTGCTATTAACTGCTTCACACTGAAAACGAAATGGAAATGGAGAATGTTTGGTTCAACACATGACGCAGTTTTCTAATTCATTGGGGAATCACTGCACTTGGTGTGCTTCAAATGAAACTGCTCAACACCACCCCGATTTACTTAAACAAATAGCTATTCTCTGCAGAATGTTTTTAACTAGAAGGAGCCACAATCAAAACATTTCCAAGAATAATGTTCCATTAGATTACTTAAAATATGAATCTCTAATTCGTGTAGAATAATAGCAATAAAGGCACATTTTTTAATGAACATTACCCACATTTTCTTCGTTAAGAGTATACAACTATTTACTTGCCACATGGGAAACCACCAAATTACCTGAGAGTCATTACCCTGCTTCTAATTTACATGACTAATACAAACAGGAAGCTGTCAAACACATGCAGACACCCGGGCGGTATTAAAGCTCATTATCACACAGAAAGCTTACCTATAGAAGGGATGTAATCCATGTTTACTCTTGGAGGTTTACCTTTGCACTGCATTTTGATAAAGCAGTGAAGAGCCAGTGCTGCTGTGTGTATGAGGAGGTTAGACGAGTAGAAAGTTGAAACCCTCCTTTTGTCATCCAGGAGAATGACCTGCGCAGTGCTTCAGATAAGTGCTGATCAGACGTTTATGAAACGAATGCAATTTTTGAGAAAGCAGACTGTGGCGTATCGGTTTGAACGACATAGACGCAGAATGCAGTGGGAAAAAACCGCCTGGGAAATCAGGAAAAGAGCCATGAAGACGTTTGCCTCTCACACATGACCAGTGGCATCCAATGACAGGCGATGGAGGCACATAAAAAGGTCTATTACCAAGTTGTAAATTGTCCTCTCACAAAAAGGAATTTCGACTGCTGCAGCTCTCTCCATCTTTGCGCATAATAACAGAAGCCCCTCCACGTCCTCTTGAGACAAACAAGAGGGGTGTTCCCCCTTTTTTTGTTTTTATTACTCAACCGTAAAAAGTTGCAGTTTAAAGGGCAAAAGGGCAGTTTAGCTCCATCATAATGTGAATTCGTTACAACAACAAAAACGTTAAACCATTAATATGTAAAATGTATCCTTTCTCCGAAGATATAGCAAAAAAACATTATGACGCAACATTTTATTTTTGTTTAACTTTAAATAAGAAACACAATTATTTTTGCAAGGTTTTTGCGTAAAATGGAAGCTTTTGTGCATCAACAAATGGATGTTTTTCTTTCTTTTTAAGCGGCCTGTGCACAATTTGTTAACATTTGATGTGATAAACCATATATTAGGCCCAATTTTAACTAATGCTGATAAGTTAATAAACATAATAGAATATATCCTCAAATAATCTTTATATGACTTTGTGACACTGGCCTAATTTGATATTTAATCGCACATTGTTCTAGACGACAAAATGTGTTTTGAATTGAGTGTCTGCACATCGTCCACATTTACGCGCTCTAACAGGCCTGATGTTATTCATAAATATGGAGTAAAAAAAAAAAAAAGGAGGAATAAATTATTACAAATGACCAATTCTTACGCTTTTGACCTCCAAGATTTAAAAAGCTAAAATTAACAAACTACTGTCACGTCCATGTGTATGATTCTGCAGCTAAAACAAAGAAGGAATTTATTTCATTTCATGCTGGCTCATCTGGCCAGAGTCAGCACTGTGCGATTTATAGTCAGGCTATGGCCCAGTCTCTGGTTTCCTGTGTGTGTGTGTGTGTGTGTGTGTGTGTGTGTGTGTGTGTGTGTGTGTGTGTGTGTGTGATGTGGAAGATCAGGGTCATTCTAATAGAGGAAATACAAAATATTGGATTATGCTCGCTTTAGTCTCGGTGCAGTGAGGACTATTTGTCTGTTGGTTGTTGTTAGCTACATGATGTTGCCATGTTTTATCTGAGGTCACTAATTGTAAGCGAGTGATTATGTCGCACTGGATGAATGGTATTAGCGTAAGTGTGTAATACGGTGGTGGACCATTGCACACTACATTAATGATGGAGAGTCAAAGACTAATCTTGCAAACTAGCATTAGCCACATTGCCATTTCCTCTCACAAATGGTGTCTGCTACAGGCCCGTACAAATATAAAGATGGTTAAAAGCAGCACAAATGAAAGAAAGAAACCCCACTACAACACTGACCCAAAGTTATTTGATATTGGGAATGACAAAAAGAGAAAGACAATGGGTCGCTGTTGGTAAACTACACACACAGTTGAAACATTGTTACACACCAGGACTAATAAAGATGTTGCAGCAAACAGCACCTCTCAGTCTGCTGGGGGTTTCCTTCGTCTGCTAGCTTATTGTACGGGTGTTAACAATTCATATCCTAAGGCTTGTTTTCAGTAAATCATTTAAAAACAAACAATGTTATCCGAAAAGTGAGTTTAAATCAGCTAATAAATTTGACACGTGCTTAAAAAAGAGAAGTGCCAAACAGGAAAGTACATGTTATGGTAATGTGACATTATCGGTCTAAGATCAAGTGATGCGTTTTATTTTCAACACAGAAGTCCAATTGTTCTTTCTGTGCAGCCCAATTCTTCGGCAATCAAGCGAAAAATGTAGAGAGCGTTATATCTAGTTTTTGTTCTGACATTGTGGTTGCTCAGATAATTTCAATGCACCATGTTACACCAAACACATGGATTTACAACTTGGAACAGTATAGTATCTAGCCATGGAAGTAACCTAAAGATAACACAACTGATATGCAACACTTGTGTTATTATTGCTAAGCAGAGCACTGCTGATGTATCAGTGTTAATGACAGATTCTCCCTTCGTTATTAAATAGCGGCAGATCCATCATCCACACCCAAGCATTCCACATTAATGCAACATTGTTGCATTGACGTACCGTGTTCCACTCTGCATAGAAACACAGTGCAGAACGAGCGGTTGTTTAGAATGTGATACGTCTCAATTCACTCTATAGTTAGAACAACTGCTTGTTAAATTCTTCAAATGCATTACAGTTAGTGGAGTTTGCGTTAGTGAAAGATAGGAGGCATCTTCAGATTTAATAAAATAGTGGAATATATCCAAGTACATTAACTTAAGTAGCCTACTGTGCTAATATAGTCTATATAGCTACACATGTTGGGTGCTTGTATACTTTCACTTTATTTAATTGTGCTTCAGAGAGAAATATTGTGCTGCATATTCAATCATATTCATCAGTTACTTTGAGGACTATTTCGCCAATAAAATAGGATGGATTATCATCTGGTTTCAAAAGTTCATTTTGTTTGGAAAAAAATAAACTAAAAAGGAAGTTACCTTGCACATAGATGCACCAGTTGTAATAATAGTCAGCACAATAAAATATAAAATTAAAAGCATTTTTGGCATTTTTAATATTTATTTATTTATTTTTTACTTTTGATGCTTTAAGCCTATATTTTGAAGATATTACATTGTAAATAGATGTTCAATGCAGTTGTGGGCATGGATTTAGCATGGTTAACTTTTTCTCGTATTTTTCCTTGGATGTATGTGGCTTTCAGAGTCCGACATACTATTTTTCTGTGTTCAGGAAGAGCCCGGATATTAGCCCGAGTGTGTTCCCAATCAGTCACAGACAGCTCATTTTCACAGCTCTTATTTTCAAACAGCTTCCACGGAAATGACACTGGACAGTGTGAATATGGACCACAGCACGCGGTGTGACATGACTGTAGCTAATGACAATAGTGAACCTGGAGAGGAAGTGACACGTGACTCTCCAGGAGAGGAAGTGACACGTGACTGTCTGTACAGTAGGGATGGACCGATGGACATGTTGACAAAACCCCCCCCTTATATCACAGAAACGAATATATCTAGTTATGATGTGCATAAACAGCTTGTAATCATGAAGTCACTTGTTTAGATCGAGGAGATGAACATCATTATTCGGGGTTCAAGTTTTCAGCCGTGACACAAAAAATCACTTCAAGATTTCCCGTAATTGCTGCCATATTTTTTATCCATCCTGTTGCTCTCTAAAAGCTGCCATTGACTGTCAGTGTTTGATTATTCGAACAACTGGAAACCACATGACAATCATCAAATTGTATGGCGAAGACTGAAGTAATGTTCACTTTAGCTCCTCAGGACTAGATGCACATCCACACTGCAGACTGAATGAAACACAGCAGCAATAGTCAGAATAGCAGCCCATCAGTTTTAAGTTACAGAAACCCTCATTGCAGCATTTTATATATAAAAGCAATGTAGCCTACTGTAGGCTAAAATTATGATAACAATGTGTTAATAGTAGGTGTGTTATTTGGGTAGGCTTTCCCTGGTTGAGAAAAAATATATAGCCTAGGCTATTTTTTCCAAGGCCAAATATAACACAACACCTTTGTGCTAACTACCGGATTTTGTTTATGTCAGTATTTAAACAAAAAACTAAAGTATGAAAGTAACATTTGAGCATTTGGGGGAACAAATAAATCACAAGGCAAAGTGTCGCTACTGTGTTTAGTATAGGGACTATTCATAAAATATGAGTCCATCATTCATATTTTCATTAGCCTCCTCCCTCACATGAACAACAAAATACTTATTTGTTTCATCGCATTTTTAAATACTGATAGGGGAGTTTATATGGCCTTTAATTAGGAATGCATTTATAAAGCTATTCCTAATTATTCCTGTTATTTTCTTCTAAATACGAGAATGTATTGAGTCTGCTTCATGTATCAATTAAAATCGGCTGCTCCTTTGTGCAAATGTAAACTATGGCCGGGGTCTGAAAATTATAACAACATAACTGCAATAAACTATTCGACATGGATTCACAGTTTTACACATTTGTAACAATTAAATAGACGTGCTGTTCTAGTTTCTTATCTAATAACAGATTTTTATTTAAGACAAGATTCAGGTAATAGACAATTTAAGGTAAATTGTGTTGTTATTGTAAAACTGCTCACTAGGTATTGCCCTTTAGATGTTCACAAACTAAAGTTCTCCAGTTTTATAAAGAATACTCAGAGATAAAGCCATATAGTATGTGTCTCCTTTCAAATATTTCATATAATTAATAATGCATGTTGCATGGACTGGTCCATGTGTTGCCTGCATGTTCCAGCATTGAATGAGTTCCTGTATCTCAGAATAAAAGGCCAATATCGCCCTCTAGCGACCAAATTACTTTCCCAATGTATAGCCTAACGCTCTGCAGAGGTAAACAAATTGTATTTAGTCCTTCTAAATGCAGAGTTCTTGCATTGGTTTGACTACTGCAGATCCAAATGGTATCATTCATTTATTGATACAAATTAAGTAATTATCCAAAATGATGATATCATTTTAGTTTCCTTTAGTGCAGACAGTGTGAGTTAAAATAAGGACACATCTCTGGTTTTACATTTCAATAATACAATAAACCCACAATAAGGCTTAACTCCATCTGACATCAGTCAATGTGAAGGTTTTTTTTTCCCATCGGTTGGAAGTGCAGTTGGTGAATAAACGTGACCATTACGGTGGGGGTGATTTCCTCTAAAACAATTCATCGACCAGACACCCCGTGGAAAAGTGTCTAGATTCTGTTTGTCAGCAACAGACGCAAACGCCCGAGATAAAGAGGATTTCAAAGGAGAATGTAATTACTGGCCAGGACCATAAAGTCATTTAGGCCAGACGTCTAGCCATTTCTATAGCTTTATTGGACCACGTTTCTTCCTGCTTTAAAGTAATTATTCGTACAAGTTGGACAATAAATTGGAAATCGGCCGCAACACCTCTCCCAATCGTAAACACTTTTGTTCTTCTAAGTTTCAATTCCACTGTTTGGAAAATGAAGTGAAATCCAACGAAGTAGCCTAAAGACAGATTTGAATGGGATATAAGAGTAGCCTA